CCCCCCTGCTTCTCAGCTGCTGCTTCCAACCTTTTTTCTTCAAATTGCTGACTGTAGTGATCTTTGAGTCCCAGTTCTGTTTCTCTCTTTGTCCCTATTTGCCTGTCTCTGCCTCTCTCTCCCCAAATCTCTGCCCATCTGACCCTAGGGGTCTCATCTCTGGGCTTCTGCAGTCCATCCCCCCATCTCTCCGTCTTTCCATCCCTCTCTCAAATCACTCTCTTCTTCGACCTCAGTAAGTCTCTCTAACTGGCCTCACTCTTTTCTGCCCCGGAAACCCTTTTGTGGGTTCTTCCAAGTCACCCCGCCTCCCCTAGGGAATCCTCAGAGGCAGGCACTCTGCCTTTCTCAGAGGGGGCGGCTCCATCCCTAATTCCATCCACTCCGCAGCTCAGGGAAAGCTTTTGCTCCGTTCTGCAGCTTCGATTCCCATTTGGGGTCTGCAAGAGAGACTGAGGATTTTACTTAAGGGAACAGCACCCCACCCTCCAAAGCAGGCACTTAACACCCTCTGGGCCCTGGGCACCTCTCTTTTCCACCCTTGGCCAGCAAGCAGAGTCTCTCTCTGCTCTCATTTCTTTCTCCATGACATCAGACTTCTCCAAGGTCTTGCAAGGGCGGGGGAGGGGAGCATCACCTGCGCCCCCTTCTCCTCTCGTCCCCCAGAGGAAGCTCTGGCCACAGCATGGTGTGATGTGACAGACAGCATTTATTCCAGACTCCAGTGTCCACAGATCACAGGGTGGGGGTGGAGGGGCAGGGGTGGGGATCCAGTGTCAGACTATGCAGTAGGACATCAGGTGGGGCGGGGGACCAGCAATGCAGGCAGGAGGTAAAAATCGCCCCGGCCAACTGACCCCTCAGAGCCTCGGAGCCTCGTCTTGTCCCGGGCCAGGGCCTGGGCTTGGGTCCAGGAGCTATTCTGGGGCCTGGGAGAGTCACATTCCCTGGAGGAAGGTCCCCTCCTTCCCACCCTCCCTCCCTCCCTTCAAGCAGTAGCTGCTGTAGGTCCCTGCCCAGCCTGCAGAGGAAGGAAGGGAAGGGGGGGCCGGAGGGGGAAGAGGGAAGGTGGGGGCAGGCGGAGGCGGTGGAGGCATGTGCGCAGGGCTGGTTATCTGATGCTGATTCTCTGATGTCAGGTCCAGTAGAGTCTCTTGGAGGTCCTCGGGCTCAGCACTGGGAGGAGATGGAGAGGTCAGCCTGGGCCTAGGCCCACAGGGGCTGCCCCACCACACCCCTGCGGCTCCCCCCACCCTCAGGGTGCCAGGGCCCTCACCCACCTCATCTCCGAAGCCCCCACTGCCATGCCTGGTTCCTCCAGAGGCACCTCCCATGAGAAGGCCCGTCTGCTCAGGCCGCTCTGACCCTGAGTGGCTCAGCTGTGGCTCCCCAGGTGGCCTGGGGGGAGGAGGCAGCATGGTGGAGGGGGTCATGCCTGGGGAAGGGACTGAGGAGGGGGTTGTTTGGGGTGAGGATGGACTTGGGGGACAGGCGGGAGTGGGACGGGGATGGGGATGGGGATGGGGTGGGAGTGGTGATGGCATCTGGGTTAGGGATGGGTGGGTAGACTGCTGTCGGAGTTGCAGACGGTGACTTAGTTGGGGGTCAGCTCCAGGGATGGGTTTGGGGATGGCTGCGGATTGGAGTGGAGAGTGGCCATGTGATGGGGCCAGAGGGGATAGATGGAGATGGAACTGGAGTAAGGAATGGGAACGAGATGGGGAGGGAGGGGCCCTGGGGCTGGGGATGCAGTTGAGGGAGACACCGGGGTTCAGGGTGAGGTTAGAGGTGGGTTGGGGATTGGCGTTGAGGATGGAGATACGGTTAGGGTTGGAGGGGTTAGAGGACAGATTTGAGGTTGGTTATAAACCGGGTTTGGGGTTGGGGATGAGGATGAGGTTGGGGTTATGGAGGAGACCGGGGCTTCAGATGGGGCTGCAGTGGGGCTTGGGAATGGGTTTGGGGATGGTTATGGGTTGGGTGTTGCTATGGATTATTAGGTCTGAGGTTGGAGACGGGACTGCATTTCATTTGGCGATGGGGCTGGGGCTGGGATGTATTTGGGTTTAGGGTTGAGGATGGGATGCAGTTGCGGTTGGGGTCGGGGCTGGGGACGTATTTGGGTTTGGGGTTGAGGACAGGATGCGGTTGGGGCTGGTCATGGGCTGGGTTTGGGCTCGAGGTGGGAGGTGAAGTCAGAGGTGAGTGTAGGGATGGGGTGGGGTTACAGAGGTCAATTCCAAGGTTGCAGGCCACTCACGGAGCCCCCTTTTCCCCCTGCCGGCAGCAGCTGGAGCGACCCTTGCGTCTCATGCAGTAGAAGGCAGCGACGACGAGGAGCAGGAGGCCCACGCTGACGGCCACAGCCATGACAGCCACGCCGGCCTGGGCAGTCTGGGGGGCCACTGCAGGGACAGGACGGAGGAGGAGGGGTCAGCTGGCAGGGCTCTGTCAGCCCCACGGGCAGCCTCCTCCCACCCCTGCAGCTCCTCACCAGAGCCGAAGTGGAAGACGTGCTGCTTCTTCCCGTGGGTGTTGGAGGCCTCGCAGGAGATACCTTCTCTGCTCAGGGCACTGGTCACCTTCAGGGTCAGGGAGCTGCTCACCCAGCCCTGCCCTCTGAGGGCCGGCTCTGCTGGCTGTGGAGGCTGGGGTTAGCCCCGGCCCCTGGGATCAAGGGCTGGGGCGAGGGCAAAGGTGAAGATGTCCAGTCCCCCAGGAAGTGGAGGGGCACAGTGCTTGGATCAGTGAAGGGAGCAGGGTCCCCCGAGGGGCTTGGGGAGGGGTGCCTGGGTCCCGCAGGGCTCAGGGTGGAGAGGACAGTCCCTTACACTGCCTCCCAGTTGGCTCCAGCTGAGTTTGGGCTCTGGATACCCGCGGGCAGAGCAGACCAGCCTGACTTCTTCTCCTTCTCTCCAGCTGTCCCCTGTCTGGGGCTGAGGCTCTTCTGGGCTTAATTGAGGTGGCCCTGGGGGTGGGGGGTGGGGAAGAGCAGGAGGTCCATCCTCCATCGGAGAAGGGGAAGGAGGAGGAGAGAAAGAGAAGGAGAGAGGGGAGAGGAATAGCAGACAGAGGGACCAGCCGTTTGTCCTGGCCCCCCCACCCCCACGGTCCCCATCCAAACCTGCCCCAGCCCGAACCTTGGACCAGCAGCTTGAAGCTCTGGGTGCGGCTGAGGAGGGGGACCGTGGGCATGGAGGCCTCGCAGACGTAGGTGCCCGCCGAATCGAAGGTGATGGAGCTCAGCGAGAGGGTGGGGCCGTTCCCCAGGGGGACGAAGTCCTGGCAGGGAGAGAAGGGGGAGGCCAGGCGGCTGTGAGGGCAGGGTCGAGGGTGCTGGGCCGAGGGTTCCAGGGCTGGGGGCTCCTTTCTCCTTCTCACCTTGGTCCAGCGCAGGGCAGGGGTGGGCAGACCTTGCACGGAGCAATTCACGGTTGTGCTGTTGCCTAAGTATAAGGAAAGCTCCTCCCCGGTGCTGAGCTCGAGGGGGTCCAGGTCTGGAGGGGAGGACAGACTGTCACCTTCCCCCGACCCTCACCCATGCGGTTAGGGGCTCTCCAGGGCTGTTGGGGGTGCAGACGTGAATGCATAACCGTAAGCAGAGCCTGTCAGTGCTCCTCCTGGTTCTCCCCACCTCCACGAGCTTGCCACACTCCCATCCAGGCCAAGGCTGGAGCCCAAATCCAACTCCAAAACCTATGGTTAACTCAACCATCTTCCTCCAGAGCAGACGTAGGGCCCACAGTTAATGCATGACTGGGGAGGTGTGAGGTGGTCCTTCTCTGACTTACCACCCAAACCCCATCACCCATCTTTTCAGCCAGTTTTTGTCTGCTCTGCCTCCGAAACGGACCCTCCCACTTCTCGCCATCTCTGACCTCCAGGACCAACGGCCTTGACCACTGCAGCCACCTCCTCACTGGGTCTCCCTGCTGGCCAGGATTCTCCGCCCTTCCAGTCTATCCCCCCACCAAGCTGCCAGATGGATCTTCTCAAAACACACACGGCCCTCGGCCCAAAACCCTTGGCATAGAGGCCAAATTCCTTGACCAAGCCTACAGGAGCCTGCCTGGTCTGACCTCTGCCTACCTCCTCAACCTCGCTTCTCATCCCCCCAACCTTTGTCCCGAGCTCCAGCTACCCTACTCTCTTGCCGTTTTTCTCCAGTATGCCATGGTTGGGTGCTGCCTCAGGGCCTTTGCACTTGCTGATCCCTTTGCCTGGAAGCTCCTCTTTGGGCTCTTCATATTTCTGATTCCATGCTTTGGTTTCCTACTCAAATGGCCCCTTCTCAGAGAGGCCCCTCTGACACCCTGCTGTGGACACTCAGCTTTCCCCTCCAGCACTGAAGGATTTATCCCCCCAGCTGTTGAGAAGGATGTCAGCTGTCAGCCCTCAGCTGTCGGCCCTCTCTGGGAACTGCCTCAGCTGCAGAGAGCCCCTCGCTCAAGGTCATGCCCCCTTCCTCGGGCGGCCCGCGTGCAATGACTGGTTGATGTGGGGGTAGAAAGGCCCAGTGCCCTCGCCCCAACTGGGGACAATTATGAAGGCCAGCTTCCCAGTGCCGTGCAGGGCCAATTGAGACTTTTGCAGCCCGTCTTCTGCCTCTGCCCAATCCTGCTTCCTTCCCTTCCTCGGCCTTCATAGATGTGGATCCCAAGGCATTTCCCATAAACTTCCTGCCTGCAGATCTCCGAGCCAGAATCTGCTTCCCGGGATGGGACGGAGCCTGTAACATCCTCCGTCTAAAACAGTCCCCACTCACCCAGCCAATCCCTTATCCCCTCACTCTGTGTTAGTCTCTGTAGATGCCCCATCACTACTCAAAGCGTCTTGCTCACCATCTACCACCTGTCTCCCCTAGTGGGCTAGGAGCTCTGAGAAGGTGGAAACTGGGCTGTCTTGTTCACAGATGTCTCCCCGACCCCAGCCACAGGGTCTAGCCCCAGGAAAGGAGGCAGAAGGAGTGCCAAGGAGAACAGAGCCTTCGCCCAGGGCTCGGGTGCAAGCAGACTAAGAAGGTTTTCTAGAAGACTGGGACCCTGGAGACTGGCTAGACATGGAAAGTAGAAAGCAGGGGAGTTGACCTAAAAATGAGGAGAGGGGCTTGGCTGGGATGAGGAGAATGCCTGGGTGGGGAGAAGGGTCAGCCAGAGGTGAAGCCAGCCAGGTGGGCCTTGAAGGCCGGGTTGGATCATGTGGGCTTTCTCCTGTGGGGCACTGGGGAGCCATGGGAGGTTCGGAGCTGGGGGCAGGCACGTCTGTGCTTTGGAATGAGCTCTCTGGCTGCCTTGTGTGGGAGACCAGAGGGGGCTGGGGCAGGCACCTGGGGGCGGAGGGGACCATCCAGACCAGGAAGGACCACAGAAATGGAGAGAAAGGGTTGGCAGCGGGGCTGCGGGGGTGAGGGCCAGGAGGCCGCTGGTGCCAGGGCCCCCCTGCCCGCTCTCCTGGGACGCTCACAGGCCACGCGCAGCTCCGCGGTTTTGGAGAGCACCGCGTCCTCAGCAGCGTCGTAGTCCTCGACCCTGCAGCCGTAGGTCCCGCTCTGGCCCCGCTGAACCCCCTCCAGGGTCAAGTTCCCCTCAAGATTTGTTTTCAGCACGTCCTCCTGCTTGTCCTGGGTGACCAGGGATGAGGAACCCGGCTCAGGAGCCGCCCTGGGCCGGCAGGGTCATGCTAGGTGGGGGCCACCCGGGTCAGAGTCAGTCATCTTGTAGGCCGGGGGTCACCAAGTTAGTGTCATACTAGGGTCAGGGCCCCCTCAAGTAACGGGGCAGAGGCCCTTCTAGGCCAGGGGTCCCCCAGGTCAGGTATCACGCTAAGTTAGGACGCTCTCAAATCCGGGCTCAGAGGTCCCGTTAGCTCCTGGGTCACCAATCAGGTGCCTTACTAAGCCAGGGGCCACCCAGGTGAAAGGTCAGAAGTTGGTGGAGGCCAATATGTCACAGAGGTCAGGGGCCGGGACTTCCAAAGGAACGATGGGGTGAGTCACCTGAAGGCGGAAAAATATGTATTCCACGCTGGGGTTGCCATCCCCCCGGCAAAACAGCTGGACAGAGTCACCCTCGCGTACCCAGCCCTCGGTGGTGGACGGGCTGCCCACCCAGAAATCCACATTCTCCGTGGGATCTAAGGGAAAGCGCAAGAAGGACGGACAGGTCAGGGCAGACTCATGATCAGGGTCAAGGGTAGGTAGGGTCAAGGGTAAAAGGCAGGGGCTGGGTTAAGGGAAAGAGGTCAGTGCCGCAATCAAGGGGCAGGCTGAGGTTGGTCAAAGGGCAGAGGTCTTATCTTTCACAGCTCAGGTTCACACTTAGTCTGAGATCAGGGACCAGAGGTCAGAGGTTGAGCTGAGAGTACCAGCCAAGGGCCAGTGGTCAGTGCAGGTGGCAGGTCAGGGTGGGATTCCAGGACCCAATTCGGTGTGAGAATGTGTGGAGCACGTTTAGCCGTGAGACTCCGTGGGGTTCAGGGTGCTGGAGGGGGTCCGATGTCAGGGCAGGCCGCTGGCCGGCTTGGAGGGTCCAAGGTCGGGGAGGTCAGGACCCGCATAGACTCACAGTGCAGGCTGAGGTGGAAGGCGGGGCTGTCCAGGCGGCCGCGCCGGCCCGTGGGCAGCTGGTAGTTCACGGAGCAGTGGAAGCTGGCGTCCTGATCGGCCTTACGGGGCCGCAGGTAGAGGGTGCTGATGAGGGACTGCAGGCCCGAGGCCTCCCGGACGGTGCGGCTGGTCATGTAGCCCTCTGGGAGAGAGGGAGGAGGCGGTCAGCCAGCCCGGGCCGCCACCCAGCTCCATCCCACGGCCAGCTGGGCTCACCTGCGTTCACCTCCATGGGCATCCGGAGCGGCTCCCCGTTGCGATACCACGTGATCTCGGGGACGGGGTTTCCGTTGCGGCTGTTGCAGGTGGCGATCTGAGACAGACACAGGCATGGCCCTGGGCTCTGACCCAGGACTCTGAAGCCTCGGCCCCCTCTTTCCTCGGGACTTCTCCTCGCTCAGATTTAGGAGCCTGGGTCCCCCAGCCCTGTCCTCCCCCAGGACGCAGGAGTGCAAACCTCCCAGCCCCCTCCTCCCCCAGGACCCTGGCCAGGTCCCATCCGAGGTACCTCCTGGGCAAAGTCATCCACCACGGACAGGATCCCTTTGTTGGGGAGGACCTCTGTGGCCTCCGGTTTCGCTGTGGGGGAGACCGTACCTTCAGGAGCCCCTTTCCCAGGCTCTCACTTGCCCTCCCCTTCCTGGGTGCCCGCAGACACTCACCGAACATGCGGAGCTGCGTGGTGGCCTCGGTGCTCACCGCGCCCGCCTTCACCACGCACACGTAGTTCTGCTCGTCACCCACCTGGGCCTCGGTCAGCACCAGGCGGCCCTGGGAGTCCAGCTGGTATGGGGGCCTGCGGCCCCGGGAGTCGTGTACCCGGCCCTGGACCTCGGAGCCCTGCAGCTCAGCGGAGGCCAGGTGGTGGCGGACCCCAGAGCGGTCTGCCTGTGGGCAGGGAGGGCCTCAGCGCCGGAGCTGCCTGGCCTGCCCTCCCCCACTGTCCTGCGAGTTCGTCTCTCTCCTCTTGTCACCTCCCTCTGGTCTGGCCCCTGATCCCGGGGCCCCGTGGGGCTGTCTCCTCTCTCTAGGTCCCTCGTTCTCCATCCTGCTCTGCTCCTGTCTCTCCTCCTCTGTCTCCCTCTCCCGCCCTGTCCCTCGGCCGCTTGTCTCATCTTATCTTTCTTTTCCTTTAGTCCTATTCCGCCCCCCCCCCCTCATATCCTCCTCTGTCTCTGAATGTTCTCTCTCAAGAGCCTGCGCTCCGAAGGGGGCATCTTCCTTCTAGTCTCAGCTGTGCCCAGACACCAGGGGACCTTGGAGAGTCCTTCCCCTTGCTTGGCCTTAACTTCCCCACCTGTAAAATGGAAAGACAGCTGGATGGAGCTCTTCGGTCCTTTGGGCTCTGATGAGGGAATGAATGTGTGCAGCCCTGCAGTGCCCTGACTCCCAGCCCCCTTGGCCACCTTCTGGTCCCCAGCCTGCAGCACTTACCAGGAACCACTCCAGCGCAAAATGGTCGTGGGCCCCCAAGGCGGTGCAGTTCAGGGCGACGGGCTCCCCCTTCATCACCTCCACCAGGGAGGACCCAGACAAGGGCTCCTCAGCCTGGGCACCTGCAGGAGAGCCATTGAGCTCTTTCTGCCTCTGAGCCCCTTCTCCCCCAGGACCCCGGAGTCCTGGCTTCCGGTGCCCTCCTCCCTCAGACCCAGGAATCCAGACCCCTAGCCCCTCCTCCCTCAGACCCTGGAGTCCAGGCCTCCAGCCCCCTCCTCCCTCAGACACAGTCCAGACCCTCACCCCCTATCCCTCAGCCCCAGGTCCTGCCTCCCTCCATCTCTCATGTCTGCATCTCTGAGCTTGCAAATCCATCAGCATTTCTCTCCATCTCTCTCTTCACAGAACTAAGGGCTCCTCCCCCGGGCCACGTGGGGCCCTCTGTCCAATCCTCCTGGGGGTAAAGCTGCACCTGTCCTTGTTCTTCCCACTAGACCAGCCACCCCTCAAGGGCAGGGCCAGCACTGGCTCATCCCTTGGCTTCCAGCACCCTGTGCAGAGCCTGGCATGGTGCCAGGGATAGATTTCTCTCCATCTCTGCCTGTGTATCTCTCACTCTGGGTCTCCCATCTCTAGTCCACAGTCTCTGCCTCTCTGTCAGCCTGGCACTCTGTCTCCATATCTCTCAGGCCCTGGGTCTCTTGTCATGAGTCAGGGGGCTAGGGCTGAGCCTGCAGCTGAGGTATGGGTGTGTGGGGGCGGTAAGGGGGGACAGGGCTGGGCAGGTTTCAGGAATGTGGGAGGGACAGGCTGGCCCAGACCTGCCCAGCCTGGCGCCAGAACCCCCTACCCGCCCCTTGGCCCCTCTGCCTCTTTGATGGAGCAGGGAAGGGGGTAAGGTGCGTCCCCTCTGAATAGGAGAGGGGTGAGGCCCAGGAGCCTGGGTCCTGAGGTGGAAGGGAGCAGGTGGTGGTGGGGGGGTGGCTGGACTCCCATCCCATGATCCTGGCAGATAGAGCTGTTCCCATTGGGGAAACCATGCTCTCTCACCCTCTGGGCTGGCATCCTGGCATCAGCTCTCACTTCTTAGAACCTCCCTTCCCTTCCCCGCCCAGCTTGACCAGCCCTGCCCCTGGGGACCCACTATTTACCATGTTTGTGCCAGGGGCCTGGATTCCCAGGCACCCACCTCTGTCCCAGGCCTGTCCCAGGGGAGGGGGTGTGGGGCCAGGCTGGTGCCTGGGGCTAGTCTGAGTAACAGACAGGAGGACAGATGGAGAGATCTCTGTGCCCTAATCTCCCCCATCTCTCTGTCCCTCTGTTGCCAGCCCCTCTGGGCCTCCTCCCCTCCCACCACCACGCAGGTGTGTGGATTTATCTGGGGCCCCAGGAAGGGGGGCCCTGTCACTCGGAAACACTCTGTTCCATTATCACTGCCTAGGGCCAGTGCTCCAGCTTGTCCATGAAGGAGGTGGGTTCTTTAGAGTCTGGGCTCTGAATCCAGGTTGGGGGAACCCTCAAGAGCACGTGACTCACTGGGTTCTAGCCACAGGGTCCCTGACCCTCGCAGAACTTGAGAACCCTTTCCAAGGGAAGCCCTGGGGTTGGGTCTCCTGTGTCCTGGAAGAAAGCCACTCCAGCCACTGGAGGCCTGGACTCCTGGGTCTGAGGGAGCAGGAGTCTCGAGACCCAGACTCCAGGGGCTGAGGGCCCTCACTCCTTGGTCCCGAGTTTGGAGGGGGCTGACTTCTCTGGCGCTGTCTAATCCACTACTGTGGGATGCCCAGCCCCTCTGCCTGGCTGTCCCCAGGTCTCACATTGGGAGGGGTATCCCCCATGCTCCTGTATCCCTCTTCCTTGGGGGGGGGTGGTCCCAGGTTTGGCTTCCTGGGCTCGATGAAAGCCCCTTCCCCCTTTCCTTCTCGGGGTCCCCGGGGGCCGCCCCCAGTCGCGCCCTGCTCCCCGCCCGAGCCATACCTGGGTGCGCCCCCAGCAGGAGCGCGAGCACCAGCAGCCACGGGGCCCTGCGCGCCCGGGCCCGGCCGTCCCGGGGCTCCATGTTCGCGGCGGCGGTGGCGACTGCCCGGGCTGCAGCTCGGCGGCCCCGGGGGCTGGGAGCGACCAGGCCCCGCCCCTGGCAGCCCCGCCCCGCCCCGCCCTCCAGGCCCCCCCTCGTCCCCCCCCCAACCCCGGGCGCCCCGCCAGGACCTCCCACTGCCCGGAGTGGACCTCCCAGCGCTGGGCCCGGAGCGGGGCTCCCTCTGGCTCAGGCTGACCAGTGCCCCCGGCGGTGGCCTGACAGACCAGTCTAACCAGTGTCCTGAGCTGGGACCTCAGCGCACGGCCGTGGACCCTCTCCCCCTCATTCTGACTGGGGGCCATTAGGGCATGCACTGGCCTCTCCCAGTGTAACCGGTGGTTCCCGGCATGACCAGTGGCTTGCACTGTCTTCCCCCAGTACAACCAGTGGTGCCCAGCTTGATCAGTGGCCTAGAACAGCTTCTTCCTGTATGCCTTGTGAGGCCCTCCCTTGTAGCCACTGCTCAGGGCTGCTTTCCTGTCTGACCAGTGGCCTGGAACCCATCAGTTCAATCTCTTAAATTTAATGGTCTTCAAACCTCAGTTCAGCCCAGGACTCTGTGATGAGGGTGGGGGGCGGGGAGGGCAGTGGGGTGCTCTTTCCTTGGCTCTCCTCCGTGGAGCCCTCCCTCTCTTCCCCTCATCCCGGGAATCCCAGGAATGCCACCCCCCTTCCTCCCTTCCTCTCCCCTTCACTCCCTCCCAATCTTGGGGGGGATGGGAGGAGAATCAGGCTGGAGGGAGCAGGTGAGTGGGGGAGGGGAGCAGGCCAGGGCACCTGAGGGGAGTGGGGAGGAGCAGAGCCAGGGGTCCGAAGGAAGGGTCACAGGTCAGGTGGCAGGGGGGCCTCACAGATCCCGACTGCTCAAGGCTTCTCACAAGCCAGGTCTGACGGGGACAAAATCCTCTGGGGGTGGGGGCAGGGAGAGATGTCACTGGTTATAGGGAGTACTAGCCCTGGACACTGGCCAGAATGGGGGTCACTGGTAAGATGGCTTTGCCCATCGGGCACAGAAGGAAGGCTTAGATTATAGGTCAGCTTGGGAGTTATTGGTCAGACTAGTCAAGGGTACTTTATTCATCAGTGATACAGGAAAGCAATTGTTACACTGGGAGAGGAGACCTTTTAGTATTACCCGCACCACCACCTCCTCCAGGATGCCTTCCCTGCTCCCCTGGCTAGGTCAAGCGCCCCCTCTACGCTCCCTCAATCACCTGGGCTCCCCCACCCCAGTCCTGCACATTCTGGGTCATCCTGTCTGGGGATTAATCTGTCCCCTCACTGGACTGTGGGTCCATGAGGGCAGGGCTGGCGCTGTCTCTGTTGGTCACTGCTGTGTCCCCAGCAAAAGGCCAGACACAGAGCAGGTGCTCAGGGAAGGTTTGCAGGGCTCGAGAGTCAGGAGCACGCAGGCTCCCTGGATCATCGCAGGACACATGGTACAAACTCACTCATGGACAAATACAACTCCAAGGGCTCCCGGGGACAAGCTCACACACTGCGACCCCGTACACCCGTTCCCCAGCTCCTCTGGCTCCCGCTCGTGAACTACTTGCTTGGGCTGGACTCCAGTAGGCACCCTCTCATCAGCTACTCCCACTCCCACCTGCCTCAAGAATCCAACCGGCCAAGGTTCTGGGCAAAGGGGAAGGACCGTCTGGAGTGTGTATGAAGGAGGGAAGGCATAAATACCAGCCACAGTCCCTCGCAGACTTGCAGAAACTAGTACTGTAACGTCATCTGCCCTTGTCCCCTACAATTTATTCCCACAAAACAGCCAGAGGGATCCCGTTAAAATGTGAGTCAACCCACATCACTCTTCTGCTCAGAATCCTTCCAGGGCTCCTCTCAGTAAAAGCTAAAATCCACTCCATGGCTCACAAGGTCCTCGACCCGGTCCTCGTTACCTCCCTGACTCCGTCTTTCTCTTCCCCCTTGCCAGCTCTGTTCTTGCCACATTGGTCTCTTTGCTTCCTTGCTGTTCCTCCAATGCCAGGCATGTTCTGGCCTCAGGACCTTTGCACTTGCTTTTTGCTGGGACATTCTTCCCCACACAGCTCCTTCCCTTACTTGCTTCAAATCTCTTCTCCAACATCACCGCATCAGTTTCCCTTGGCCATCTTATCTAAAATAGCAATTCCTGCTATCCCAGCCATTCCTATTTCCCTTATTACGTTTCTCCTCTATAACACTTATCGATGCCATGTATTTATTTTTTATTGTTTATCTTGTGTAGAACCTAAGTGCTAAGAGAACGGAAACTGTTTTTTTTACCACTGTATCTCCAACACCTAGAACAGTGCTTGGTATGACGAGCGGAGTCAAGATCTGTGTAATTTATGAATTTTGCGATCCCATCCTTCCTGTGTCATGTGTATACACTTACACATTTTAATTAACAAGCCTTGTTTTTCCTCTGTGGCAGCCCTGCCTATCTGCGGTTTCCCTTTCCATGGTTTGTTACCTTCGGTCAACAGTGGTCTGGAAGCAGATGATCCTCCTCCTGATGTGTATTTCAGAGGGGCAAGAGTAGCCTGAGGATAGGTCACAATGCTGGTGCCATTCCCCTCATTTCATCTTATCATGTAGGCAATTATTTTCTCACATCATCACAAGAAGGGTGAGTCTAGGGACGCCTGGGTGGCTCAGTCAGTTAAGCGTCTGCCTTCGGCTCAGGTCATGATCCCAGGGTCCTGAGATCGAGTCCCGCATTGGCTCCTTGCTCAGCGTGGAGCCTGCTTCTCCCTCTCCCTCTCCCCCTGCTTGTGCTCTCTCTGACAAATAAATAAATAAAATCTTAAAAAAAAAAGAAGGGTGAGTCTAGTACAAGAAGATATTTTGAGAAAGAGACCACATTCACATAACGCTAATTATAGGACATTGTTATAACTGTTCTAGTTTATTGTTACTGTTAATCTCTTACTGTACCCAACTTGCAAATTAAACTTTATCATAGGTATGTACAGACAGCCAAATACTAAGTCCCTAGTCAAAAAATACCATATATCTAGGGTTGGATACTGTCTGTGGTTTCAGGCATCCGGGAGCAATCTTGGAACATTCCCCTTGTGGACTCTGGTACCTTTATCCCATTATTTTACATACAGTGTGTGATGGTTGACTTTAAAACGAGTTCACAGCTTGTGGAATACGGGATCATGACACATTTGCTGGGGATTGGGGACTCCCCAGTCATTCCAGATTTCCGTCTGGAAAATGTAACTACTGGAAGTCTGTGTTGTCTTGGGGGGGGGGCAGTATGAATGCATTCTGGGTTGGACGACAACAGTTTATTGTGCAGGGAAAGTTTAGATAAGAACTTTTTTTTTTTTTAAGTTTTCTATTTATCTAAGTAACCTCCACACCCAGCACCGGGCTCGAACTCACCATCCCAAGGTCAAGAGTCACATGCTCTTCCGACTGAGCCAGCCAGGCACCCCTGAATCCTACTGTACTTTGAATTAGGATTTAACAATGCCAAAGAAGCAGGGACTGGTTGGTTCTACGCTCTTGTGGAGCTGGGACACATTGTATTTTCCAAAGATGGATGTAACAGTATCTCTCATTCCATATGCTCTTTTAACGATCTGATCTCGACACTCCCCAGAAGTGGGGAAACCTACGTTCCTTCCTCTTTTTATATCTGTGCCGTGTTGTGACTCTCCTGTAAAGAAGAGAATGTGGCAGAAGTGATGCTGCAGGACTCCCAAGATTAGGTAGAAAAGGGTCACTGGGAGACTCTCCCACGAAGCCGTCAGCCACCCTACAAGCAGTCAGGCTGCCTTAGGCGGCCATGCCGTGGGGAAGCCCAAGCTAGCAAGTGTGGCGACCCCATGGAGAGGTCTGACTGCAGAGAGCAGTCTGTCCAGCCCCCAGAGGCCCTGGACCAGGTGCCACCTGCTTGCACCCTGAGCCGGAACGACCCACCTGAGCCCGTCCCCAAATCCTGGCCCGCGGCCACCACGATGTTGGTGTTTACCACTAAGTGTTGGCGTGATTTGTTCCGAGCAACAGCGAGTGAGAAGAGCACCTTCAGTCAGTTGCTGGGGCAGCAGAGGCAGCGAGGTGACTGGTTGGTTTTCAGGGGTCCTCGGGACATCAGTGTATCCTCATCAGACCAGTTCTGTGGCGTGATTGGGGCTGGGCTCCGGCTGGAGCCCAATGCCGGTGGTTCCTTTGCCTTTCATGGCTTACTTTCCCATCCTGGTTCTCTAATCGCTCCCAGGAATCTGTGAGAGATCCCACATCCTCTCAATGAATTCCCTTTCTGCCCCGGCTTGTGCTGCTTGGGACAAATCTGTGGTATGGACTTCCATGCTCCCTTTACACCGGGATACGTTTTCCTCTTCTTTTCAGTCTCAGCTTGGATGCCTCCTCCTGGAGGTCCTCTCTGACCTCCCAGGCTGGCTCAGCTGCCCACTCTGGGTTCCTGTAGCCCCCTGTTTCTCCCCCATCCCCCTAGCCCTGCCCACTCTGGGTCATCACTGTATGTCACCCACTGGATTGTGAGCCACCAGGGGGCAGTGATTACTGCTATATGCGCCCAGCCTCGCCCAGCCTCACCTAGCCTGGGGCTGGGCACAGGGCTGGGCTCAGGGGGTGCAGGCTGGCTTAAACTGAAGTGGAGGGAGGCTTGGGTCCCTCCAAGATTAGTGATGAGGTGGGGAGACATGTCCTCAGTTTGATTTGGACTGGAAATCACTGGGATCCTTCTCCCAGAGTGGAATGGAGGAAAGAACATTGGGACAAGATCAGGTGCATAACTCTTAAAGAAATGTGGGGTCTTTTTGACTAGGTACTTAGTACTTGGATATCTGGATCTGGTTCCAGAAAATTTTTTTGCATTAGTGGGGAAAGAGGGATGGCTGCCCGATTCTCTGAAAACTTGGGACTCTGGACTCCTGGGTCTGAGGGAGGAGGCTGGGAGCCTGGACTCCTGGATCCAGAGGAGCTGGGTACCCCACTCGCCTCTCCAGACCCCTGAATTAATGGGGGGGATGATCAGGCCTCAGG